TGAAATCTCATGCAGCAGCTCCCTCTGATAATCCACAAGCACAGCCAAGATCAAAGCCATGAAGCAGTGTATTTTAAATCTGGATGTAAGAAACAGGCTCGCCCATCCTGGCCTATTTTGGCAAGCAAAACTACTAAATGGCTGATTGTTGACAATAGAGAGAGAGATAAAAGATGGTGAATTGCCTACGTTCTCATTAAAATGTGTTACTTGAATGAAAGTACTTGAAAATTCCTTTCACCAATGTTGGTGCACATTTGTCTTTCACAGTACATTTGAACTAGCACATATTAGAAGGGTTTTGTGCTACTTATCTTACTGGTACTCATTTGCATGCTACAGTACTGGGCCTCAATTCTTCTTGTACAATGCACTGTGAAACCCTCTGGGAAGCTTTGGAAAATACTTTTTTATTCATCGCAAACTACACTTGCATTGAAAACTTTCCAGACTCAATAAAAAATGCTTTTGAACTCCCACAAATATTTCGTCATTCATTGAGGTTTAACTTGATCTACTTTGGGTTCTTTATCTGCAGCCATCATTTAAATTGCAATGTATAAGAATTTAACCTTGAAAAGTTAAAAAACATTCAAAAATGAAGTAAACAAATATGAATTTAGCATGCTAACCAGCTAACGCGGCCCATCCTGTCTCGTAATACCACCTTGTACCCCCTTTTCCTCTGCACGGTACCAGCTCAACTCGGCTCGACTCGCCTTTGTTTGGTTTTCCATTGCGGAAAAGTTGTACCTCTAAAAACACAGCAGACTACTGATTGGTCAGAGAGAATCGTCACTATTCACTATTCACTGCGTCATCATTGCGTGCGAGAGACAGAGGCCAGCAGCAGAAAGTTTTATATTTTACAATTTTTGTATATAATTTGGTCACTAATGACCAAATGAGAAATTTTGAGGTGAGAAATCAACTGTGTACATTTTGAATATTGACAGTTTTACGAAAAGTGATGGTGGAACAAAAATGTGCTTGAAAGTTTTCGGAGTTGAGGAGCTCCGAAACTGGCAGCGGGGAAGCCTGCGGCAACCCGCGGGAGCAGCTTGAAAGGCCGGCCAGCCACCCGCTCACAGAGCCCTCTGCTTCCACCATTACACAGACCGCTGCAGCAATAACAGCAGAGGAAAACACAGCGGGAAGGTTTTCATACCGCTTATCTGTCTTTACATTCTGAGTAATGTTGAAACTTTTTAACTTAAATAAAGAGAAAGCTGTGTGGATCGCAGGTGTGTGTGTGTCGCATTGAACATTACGTCGCGGCAGTTGTGTGTGCGTCGCTATGACGACCAGCTACACTAAGGGGTACTATCTCAGGGTATAATCTGCAATGAAAAATGGAGCACGGCCAAACTGAGTCGAGAACCGCCCCAACTCTCGAACGTTTTAAATCATTGTTAAAAACACATCTCTTTTCTTTGGCATTTCCTTCGAGTTAAGTCTGTTATTATTCCTGGCAATTTTAATATCACTATATATCGTATACTGTATATTATAATGTTTTATTGCTGTACTTTTACTGTGTGAGTAGTGTCTTGTTGTTGTATTTAACCTGTGAAGCACCTTCGCCAACCTTGGTTGTTTTAAGAGTGCTATATAAATAAAATTGATATTGATATTGATATTGATATTGATATTGATATTGAGTAGAGTCGAGGCGAGTTGAGCTGGTAATGGAAAAGCGCCATAAGAAGTGGATGGAGTCATCATGACGTCACCCATTGGTTACTGGACTGCTGTTTTGAAGCCTCGAGTCTGACCGTTAGGGTGCAGCCATTTTTTGCAACCAGCAGCACCGGACGTGACCATATTTGGAAGAGACGGTGGAGCTAGCTAGCTTTCTTAGCTAGGTGCATCTGTAATTGACGTTAACTATCATTTTAACTGGGATGATAATTTTGTCTAGCGAAAAACTGGCTTAAAACAAAATGCACTCACCAGGGAAAGTGAACAGCCAACTCCTAATAAGCTTTTTCAATGGCTTGTCAATCACAGATTGTCCGGCCCTGAAGCATACTCTGCTTTATGGTCTATTTTTCTCTAAATGTGACCATAATTTACTAAATGAACATCAGCGATTGAGACCATAAACTCACAGGAAAGCGTTTACTGAAGTAATAAATTGGGTGAGAAGTAGGGTCATTTTACCATTATTTCTAATGGAGCCCGACTTCTTTTTGCAAACAGAGGAGTCGCCTCCTGCTGGCCGTTTGATAGAATGCAGGTTGAAGGGACTTCTGCGTTGGCAGCTTGCTTGTACCTCAAGCGGCATTAGTCTGTGTTCTGTCCTGGTCCAGCCATGATGACTGGGAGCCTTCTTAGCCCAGTTCTGTTGCTCGCTCAACTGGCTCCGGTTCTGGTGCCCATTCCAGGCTCGGTCAGCTAAAAAAACATGTGTTTTTACAGCTGTGTTGTGTAAAATCAAATCCACAAAAATACAGATCGTTTTTTTTCTGTGGTACACATTGGACAACAATGGACCAAAAATGTGTAAAAATGTGTTTTTATTACCCTTTAAAATGTCAATAGAATAAAACTTATAATAAACTTATATTATTAATATCCTTAACATACACAAGTGTTCTACTTATTGGCAAATAATGTAGTCAGTGAAGGGTCATTGGGATGTGTCTGCATAGATTTAGTTAGGTTTGTGGCAGCTGCATTTTAGCTGGAGATGGTAGATGATTATAAGATTCAAGCTAGACTACAGGGATTTTGCTGTGTTCACATTTAAAAGAATCGAAGACATTGAATACTTTCAAGTAGCTTAGAAAAGCCAGTGTTGTAGTCTCGCAATGTCCCCAGACTCTACACAGCATATGCTGTTGGTCAGATTTGGCATAGAAAAACTATTATATGTTCCTTAGACAGATGTATACTGTAGATACAGCAGTGAACCCTCACTTATCTGTGACTTTGACTGTTATTATATTAAAAGTTATTTTCCCTAAAATAATAAATGGTTAACTGGTCTGTTTGGTCCATAAATGATCAATTTCCGCAGCATTCAGTAGCTGAGCAATCAGGCTGCAGAGTCAGTTAAGCTCCTCTGCAAGGTAATTAGATTCAGATTATCCAAACAACAAAAGCTATAATCCTGCTCAAATTCAGTGCATTCTGTTGGTGTTGAACTGGCAGAACTGTTAACAAACTGCAGCCAGAGAGATTATAAAACTGAGCTGTTTATTGGATCACAAGGCGCAAGTTTACCCACATTAATGTTATGCCATATGTCATGGTGAGCACTGCATAAATGCCTCTGTGTCACAGCGATATATTAATGTGTGTGTGTGTGTGTGTGTGTGTGTGTGTGATTTCCTGTTACATATGTTGTTGATTAATGAACTGGTTGTATAAGTGATGTTTAAAGATATGGGTGTGAAAAGCAGATAGATACTTATAGAAAAATAATCATGGCAGTAATTAATACCAACAGAATCTTTTGAAAGCTTTTTGTTGGGGTAAGGGGAAAAATTGATTCATGTAAAAATAGCTAAATGTTTTTCAGCAGTATAGTTTCAATCTTCTCTTGCTGCTGTCAATACTTACGTCCTTTAAGGCTTCCGTACAATTGCAGCAAAAAGTGTGGCTGGCGACTAGCTAGCTAGTCAGCTGCTGTTAATGCTCTCGGACAGGGTCCAAAATTAGCACTCTCCAATAAAAAACTACATTGGCGAATAAAATATGATGTCAGGCCCCATTGGCAGGTTTCCGACAGAGACCTGCTTGACTACAAATTCATATCAAACCACAACACATAAGTTGACTTGCTGTTTTGCATGACCATCAATAATTGTTTCGCAATTCTTGCTGTCCACTGTCCACAACAGTTATCTAGGTAGCTAAGTGTTTCCATTGGTAATTTTTACATGGTAAGTTACACACAACTCTGCTGTCAAGAATGCATGTGTGCACTGTAACATGAATAGGTACTTTTAATTTCAGCTATGATCTCCAGTGGGCTACTGGTGTGCATGTTTCTGACCAAACTGCCAGAAACAGGCATGAGGGCCCCATATCCTCTAGTGGCCTGTGTGCTCACTGCACAGCAGCGTGCAGCTCGATTGGCAATCGCCAGCAAACACCAGAATTGGCAGGTCCGCCCCCGAAAGCAGATCCACACTGAGCACATGTGACAGATGTTGCGAAGAGTCTGGAGACGCCATGGTGAATGTGCCTCATGCCTCATCCAGAATGACCGGTTTGGCGGTGGGTCAGTGATGGTCTAGGGAGGCATCCTTGGAGGATCGCAGAGACCTCCACGTGCTAGCTAACGGTACCCTGACTGCTGTTAAGTACCAGGATGAAATCCTCAGAGCCACTGTCAGACCTTACACAGTGCAGTTGGCCCTGGGTTCCTCCTTGACTGGCCCTCACTTTCCTGAATCCAATTGAGAACCTCTGAGACATTATGTATCAGTGCATCCAGCACTGCCAAGTAGTGCCGTCTCATTAGGAGCATGCTGAGACATTGTCAGGAATGCATACAGGCACGTGGGGGCCATGTACATTACGAGTTGCCGTGAGCAAATTGGATCGGCCTCAGATTATCAAATTTTTTACTTTTTTTGGGGGGGGGGTTGAATCCAGGCCTCAATTGGTTGGTTATTTTGGTTTCCATTGATCATTACATCATCATTACATTACATCGTTACATCATTTTGTTCTCAATGAATTATACAATGTACAGTAAAGATTTTAAACTTTTAACTATTTTGGTCATCATGATCTCATGTGTGATGAAGTGTTCCCTTCGTTTTTTGAGCAATGTATTAAAAGTACTCAATGCAGAAAAATGCAACAGTCCTACCATTATTAAAAGTAAATTTAAATTATTAAAAAGAAAAGCAGCAAATTTGAGCAAATTAACATTTGAAGATTTATATGAAAGAAAAAAAAATAGTTGAAACCCCCAGCATCATTGCCCCACAAGCAAAATGAAACTCAAGTAATACGGGAACGCTACAAATGCCCGGGCTTACCTCGTATGCCATCACCCAGAGCTGCTTTCGTGCCATGATCTGCCACACTGCCTGTCTCGAACACAGAGGAATGGAGAAATTAGCAACCCATGTACTGAATCGAGAATTGGTAAGTCACAAATTGTTTGGAATAAGGAATTGTGACTCCAAGAATCGAACATATCGTGACATATTGAAAGATTCACACTCCTAATTTTTGTTGTGATTACTGCAGCCAGAAGTTACTGAATTTAAAGTGGGTAAATTTGAAAAAAGGATAAACCCTTAGTAATTTGTTGTGTTTTGAGATTTTATTGTAGTACAATTTTGTGTATTGCTACCATTGCTGTTGCTCAATAATGTATATCAGCAAACATCATTTATGTCAGTACTGTGTTTTGAAATACCATGTGTATGCATTTCACAGCCTCTTACTTCCTGGCTCCAAAAGCCACATTGCAAGTGACTTGGCTTTGTACCTCCAAGGGCATCACCATGGAGCCTGGCTTACTCAAGGGCCCCAGCTAATGAGCCAGCGCAGGGAAATTGATTTAGTCTCCACTTTCCTATCTCCATCCCGAGCAGGTCAAAGATAAAACAGGGTGAGTCCCCGGGGTCATGGCTCAGTAAAGCCCTCCAAAGTAATTTCCTTTTCTCTGACTGGAGAGTCAAATTAATTATAGACCAATAAAAACTCAGATCAGGTCTGATTAGTGAGCATATTGAATAGACGCAATCTTGCACTGTTAGCAGGTACCTTAATTGTTGTAAAGATGCACCTGAGCTCTGAAGTAATTCCACGCATTTGTCCTCAGGCTACTGTAATCTATTTCTCTTGTATGATGTAATGAAAAAAAACATTCTACATGCAAAGCTAATTTGCCTGAGGTAATATACGATCAGATCAAATGTGGTAATGTGCTAAAGCCATGTTGCTAATCTTTTTTAAGGGTTTATTATCCCTCAGGAGAATATTTGTGTGTCAACACAATCAGTAGGACAAAATATTTCAAAGCACAAAGCATTATAAGAAATATATACAGTAAAAGCCCTAAATGTCCCACACACACACACACACACACACACACACACACACACACACACACACACACACACACACTCAGTTCTGATTTAAAGTGCTACAGGCTCCTAAAAGTGCATTTTATTTCTCAAAACCTCCATTTGGACAAAGCTGCTGTACACTCCATTTTGATGATTTTCTCTGGTGTTTCTCATGTTTAAATAAATATCTTTCTGGCACACTGGATAGTTCTTGACTACAGACCCACAAATACAATGGGGGCGGTGATGGAGCAGTGGATAACACACATGCCTTTGGTTTGAGAGATGTGGGTTCGAATCCACTGTGAGACGCCAATGTGTCCCTGCAAGACACTTAACCCCTAGTTGCTCCAGAACTGAAGTAATCTAATGTAAATATTAGGTAGAAGATCAGAACAGTAACAATTTCACACCACTTAATTAATGCGCACTCTTTCCTGAGGAAAAAAAGAATAGATGTCTGTTACGTATATGCTGCTGATCATGTCTGTGCAACATATAACACCTGTAATAGCATTACTTAAAGGTGTTCCAGATAATCGTCAAAGGTGGGTTTACATGGGAGGCTTGTTGTATAACAAATAAGGTTTTCTTTCACATTTAAGTTAGTAAAACTCTATTTTTAGAATACGAAAATCTACCTCTAAGAGTTACAATCGTATATTTTTAAATCTATTTAACCTTTTACGTAAAAATGAATAAAATACTTTACTCAAACCTCACCTACATCTCCCATTCATAAAGTGTTCATATTCTATTTTCACTATTCATTGTTAGTTTATATATCATTCAGTGTGGTGTAGATTACTGTCCACATGGTGGCACAATAGCATTACTGTTACTTGCTAAGAAATACTGAGCAATGATTTATGAACAATCAAGCAGCTTCAGTAAGTTAAAATCAAATCAAATTATCAAGATAAAAAGGTTTAAGTTACTTAGTTACAGAGCTAAGAGAGTTGAGATTATTCTCAGGTCAGGGTCCTGGCCAAACTGTCAGAAAAGTCAAATGATGTTGGAGATGCAGGTCACAAAGTAATGTCAAACAAATCTCTGACGTTTAATAGTCAGTGCATCACTAAAGCACAACCACACACACAAACACACACACCACAGATGGTTTCTTGGACCGGGTTCTAATATTAAGTAGATTGTGGAATATGAGCATAAAATTTGCTTTTTAACAGCACATAGACACATTAGCAACTATAAGTGGAGAGATGCGCTGTGTCTTATGCATTGTTTTGGATTGTTAATGGGAATCAAGAACACTATCAGGGGCCTGGCTTTAATGATTAGGCTGGAGGTCGGCCTGTGCCTTTCTCGATACCTCTTCTTTCTGATATTGATGAGATGGTCCATCAGCAGTTCCAGACAGTGTCAGGTGCTGGTCGCTGGTCTCGGCTCTCTAAACACTTGTCTTTGAACATAGGAGGGGGTCTACGCCACCACTTATCCCCCACTTACAATGCGGTCCTTTCATCACTTCCCAGGAAACTCAACAAACGTGACCTATTGGCCTCAGGTGAGGATGCCAACGATGGTCGTTCAGTCTCAGGTAGTCCTAACGACCATAACGACTGTCGTTACAACAGCCAGGAACACTAACGAACCAGTGGTATCAACGATCCTTGGAAACGACGTGGGGGACCAGCTGTTTGTTTGCTTTAAGTCCCAGTGCCTGGGTCAGCTGCAGCACTAGTATGAATGAAGGCACACTCCTCATGGGGAGTAGCAGTCTTTTGTGCCTTCTGGAGGGGCGCCAACTTATTTGAGATTTGTGTAGCTACTACATGGTCATGTCCAGTTTTGGGCAAGTTACTCAGAAATTGTAAAATATTACTAGTTACTCCTTAAAAAAGTAATATTATTACTTTACTTATTACTGGGTGATAAAATAATTACATTACTGGTTATGTTACTAGTAAAGGCCCATTTATACTCCTTCATAGGGTCTAGTAGCCATGCATTTATACTTGTGCGTAGGTGTTTCCGTCGGCAGTAGCGCTACAGCGCCCACTGTGTTGACTTTTGCCGGCCGAGCAGGCTAACTTCCGGTTTAGCGCTCCGCTAACGTAAATGGGGGTAAAATTGTATACGTGCAGCTGGTGTAGCCTTTTCAAATGTTACCAACTGAATGGATCACATTCTGATAGCGAAACGAGTCATTTCACTCGGGTTGCGACGGTCAAATATATTGATTCACTGTGTTACAGCCACCGTTTTGGCCACTAGTAAATGTTACTTCAAAGCGCGGGGTACTTCCGGTCCGCTCAGATGCATTGCGAGGCTACCCAGCCGACCAAAGTCTATTTATAAGAGCAGTTCCAAAATGTAAAGTTAACACCACTCTCTCCCGACAAGTCTAAGCATCAGTGACAGTAGCGGCCAGAGTTTCTTTCTGTAAGTTTCACGTTGCTGTGCTGCTTCTGCAGATGCTTCAGTAAATCACATGTAGAAATGTTTGCGGTTGAAAGAATTTTGCTGGTCACACAAAGTTTACACTAGACTACAATGTTCTTTGCATCTTAGACTGTGACACAATAATGGCAGTAGCAATTTACAGCGGTGGAAAGAATGCCTCTCTCGCTCGTTCTCCATTCTTCCTTTAGTTTTTGGCTATCAGTGGACATGAACAACAGAAGGTCCGGTGCCACTGACCTTCCTTACAGTCATGGATTCACGTCAAGTATGGTGCGTTCAGTAACGAGTAACACAATGTTACTTGCCTTAGTAACTGTAATAATATTACAGTTTTAGAAAAGTAATTAGCTATACTACTAGTTACAGGGAAAAGTAATATTATACTGCCCAACACTGGTCATGTCCATATAATTTTGCAAGTTTTTGTTGCTTCAACGTAGTGACATCTCCTTTGGGGAACGGGTGCTGGTTACAACTATGCAATAGATTATATGTTCACTGTGTTTTCACTCAGAGAACCAAGGTTACAATGTAACTGTACGTTATGCGCCAGACTGTTACTTTGCCAGCAGCAGTTATCACGCTATCAAACTATTCCTTATTGGCCCTGTATTTCCCAGTCTTAACAGCTGTCCTAGAATAAGGATTCTCCCAGTCTATTTTATTTTGTGTTATTTTGTGTTCTGTGTGTCAAATGATAGGTGATTGCTGAATTTAACACAGTGACACAGAGCCACAATAGCCCTACATAATAATTTAAAATAGATGATATTATCCAAAAGCCATATACATGTACAAACCACCAATTTTTCTTGTACATGTACTGTACATCAGCATATTATGTGTTCAGAATTTCATTTACCAACCAGTGGAATTACCGATCTAAATTATTTAATAGCCAATACATCAGTGGAACTTACACACACACACACACACACATCTTTTCCCTCTGTGCATTTTCTCTCCCTCACTCCTCTCTCTAACAACACCCTGGGACACCTATCATTTAGCCAATGTACTTAAGCCTGGTAATGGCTCCTCTGTAATGAAACACCATTCATCCACACTGAGAGGAATCAGCCATTTCTGTCCCTGATTATACATGTATTAACACCAAATACCAGTTTGTGTCATATAATACCTGCCTTATCAAAATCAAGCATATCATTTTATCCTCAGTGCACATGCAGTAAGACCAATTTTACTAATCCTTATTGAATGTATAATATTGTCTCCCCCCTTCCCCAGCTGACAAAGAGAAGAAGAGAGGGTGGAATAAAGTGTCACTCTGTAACAGTATCTTCCTTTGTGCCATGACTTTTATCTCCCTCACCTCTCCTCTGTAATTATCCTCTTACTATTGCTTCCCACTTTCATTGCGTTGGAGATAGAGAGGTTACGTTGAGCTGCAATACTGGAGCCTTTCAATTGTGTTGTTGAATTGAGGTTATTAAAATGGAGGGGTCACATTCATCATTCAGTTCTATTAAATCAGTTAGGATAAATATTAGCTCATTTATGTGAACTGAACAAGGCATTTGCTTTAGTGCAGAGTCTTTAAATGTTAAGCTTTAACCAGAAACTCACAGAAATTACACTGCCCATTCGACAGTCCCTATCCAAAATGGCAAAGTACACGAGCCATGGCGGGGCACAGCTGTAAAGATTCTATGAGCGTGGTTTGTTTTTTAGTTTAGCTCTATTGGCTATCATCCATAAGACTGGCAGGACAGTTTCATGTGTGTGTTGCATGTGTTGTGGACTAATAAATTCCACCACATAGACTCTTCAAGTCATGTGTATTGGCACCTAACTAATACAATATCAATGTTAGCTCTTATTTTAGCTCCATGGTCTCCACTAACTCCTGAGAAAAACATCTGGGTCCTTAACTGCTAGATATTAAATTTTATTCAGCCGATAGTCACTAAATTTGTCTGTCTGCTGTTTGGTATTCGACAAGAAGCAGCTGTTGGAACTGTGTGTGATGAGAGTGCTGTGGCTGAAACATACAGTCAATGTGTGGGCCCATAAACCCAAAACAGCATCTTAAAACGGCTTAAAGACTTAGTTAAGAGTTGGGTGATAATTGTCTGTGTGTTTGTTAGTATGTGTGGCACCTATTACATTACATGTTGTACTGTGAGTTAATATTATTATATAAGATATCCATTATTGCACATTTAAATATACAGTCTTCTATTAGAAACAGCATGGCAGCATCACTGAGGACCAACACACTAATCAAATGACGACTGATGATGAGCCATTGTCTATTATTGTGGACCATCAAGTGACACAGATGAGATGGTGTCTGATACGTGCAATCATGCTGATTACTGTTCTATGCCACTAATTTGTAATTAGAGCCTATTTTAAATGGATGGAACTTGTGTTGTGGATCCACATACAGTACATATGAGTAAAGAGGTATTGCATGGAAAAGGTTTTACCAGTCAGCAAAGACATACAGGTCTCTGCATAATGGCCATCAAGTCCAACAAACTAAACAGTACGTTTGTCATTGCCAGCTAAAATAACTTCAATGAGCATTTTCTGACATGACTCTCAAGCTTGGTTATGTTTGGTTAGGTTTAGGCAGATATAGGTTCTCAAAAAGTATTAAAAAATCTTTTGAGACACCAAATAATAACAGAAAAGAAGCATTTGCAAAGAGGAACAGTGATCAGACTTTCACTAACACTGGCTGAATAAGATTTAACAAAACATTTGTATTAGATCATAAACTGCAGTGCTAAAATATACCGTAGAGTTGAGCCAACACTTGTATTGTACATGTTACAGTCAAGACAAAAAATGAACATTAAAAGCTTATCACAGGTGGCATTTATTGCAGGATCATTGTGTTAAAGCACTGCCGTAATATTGGCATCTGTGCTCTTGAACATATCTGAGACACAATCCCGGGTTTGCTGTATGACAACTATAATTATAAAAACATTTTTTTAATGCATTTTGAGCCTGTGGAACTTTCCACTGCTGATTTCAATGTTGAGATTTTCTAAATGAGCTGGTGCTCACTGGACTATGAATGCTGGCATTACACACTAGAAATGCAGAGGAACCATCTGCTAATCAGTGGTTCCAGTGGGGTGGGATTCACTCTCGTCAAGTATCAATTACTGATCACTATTTGAACAGATGTTTTGCCTCAAAATACTCCAACAAGTTATTCATTTTCTATAATGACCGATTTGTTTTTGGTATTAATACTAAATCCATTAAGTATACTGAAATGTACCACAACAGCATTTACAGAGATATTACATTAGGCAGGAAAACTTCACAGTTTACTAAATGTATTATATTTATTATTTAAAATCTATTCTTTATCCTATGGTAGCTATAGCTAGCAGATATTTGGTTTGGTTTTACCTAAATGTTGCTTAAAGATGTATCCAATTCATTGCAAAAAGAGCTTTAGTCTATTTAAAGTAGCACACCTTATTTTTCACAAGGTACTTGATCCAAATTATGAAAGTCCTGGTTCAAAACGATTAAGTTGATAAGCCAAAATGATTGATATATTAGTGAAAGTTAACCCGGAAGAATGCGACTCCTGAAACTCACATGACACGATCAGCTAGCGAGACTGCAAAAAACACTCCAAAGGTCAGTGGACAGCGCCTTTACAGAGTGATGCTTCTTTTACCACATAAACAATCTTTGTCAGAATACAGTCACCAACGTGCAGAGAGAGCACAAACCAAACAACAGCCAAGTTTAATGCCATTACGTTACGGAATTACCGTTTATTAACGAGAGCTTTAATGACCTGCCCCTGGTGACATTTTGTCATTTTCACCGGTGAAAGTGATGCCGGCTAAAAATGAGAAGCTGCTACCTGAATGTTTTGTACGTTGATCTTCACAAACATTAAAGAGAGAGGAGAAATGACGTTAACGTTGGAGCTGAGGGGTTTTGTTAACCTGGTTTTCAGAACATAGTCACTCGCCAGCGTAGTCAAATAATTTTTCAAATACAGTTGACTGCACTGTAAAGCCCGGCTGTCATTAAAGAAAGCAGCTCTGCAATACTAGCAGACTGAAGTGGGCAAAACACAGTAGAGTATGCTACACTATAGAAAGGGTTGGATTTTGATCGGCTTTATTATAACAGATACTGATCCTTTAAAATGTGTCTGGATTGGCCCCCGATAGCCATACTTAGTATGGGCTCGGGGCATTACTAGTTCACAATGTAAAATCAGACCTTTTAACATGTCTCTCATTTATATCTGCTGTAGCTCAATAAGACTTCTGTGGGTAATTGCTACTTTAACTGACATTTTAGTATATCAGCATGACAGATGGTAGAAAATAGATATTTTAGTGCCAGTGCATAGAATAAAAGAACACAAAAGTGTCAAGATGTTGATGTGCTGGTGGATCTTTATCCTGCCACACGAAGGGTGTGGATCAAACTGACATTTGTTTCATGGTCAGGTTGGCATTGTGCCAACATGTCTTTCTACATGTCAACTTTTATAGCATGCTAAGAAGGTTACTTGAGTGTGTCATGCTGGCAACATATTTAAGAGAGATAGAGAGGGCAGGCTCATTATTATAGGTACATAGTGGATACCAACAGATCTTACTCAGCTATCTTGTGATTCTGCCTGAGTAAATAAGTTGCACTTAGCTGTCTGTCTGAGCTCACAGCCAGCTTGCTGTAACACAATTTTGCATAGGGAAACAGTTTTGCATAGAGACACTGTTGCAGTGTTTGAAGGGATCAAATGATAAACTCATTATGAACTCCTGAACCTGGTGGATAACAAACTAATCCTTTAAATGAGCTGTGTTGGAGCAGGTAGAGATCAATATTTGAACATGCATTCAATAATAATTTCAGCTTGTGAAACATGGATTTTGTTTGTTTTTGTAGAAACACATAGCTGAGTCTTCTACTTGTTAGTCTTTCCTTACTGAGTTTCTGTGTTCAGCTACTGCACTGTACTGCAAAACCACCTGAAAACGTATTTTTAAAGGTAAAAAAATATTTTGCAAACTGAGAGAATGTGATGGTTGTGGGTTCTGGTTCTTGTTGGCCTCTAGTTGCTTGTTAATAAGACTGCAGTCAGGTGACTTCCATCTCTGCGTGAAACTTGAGATAATCTTCAGATTAGAGCTGCCATGCTTTACTTTTTAATTACAATGAAATGTTTGTGCTGTTTTAATTCTCAAAAGAATTTCAATGTTTGATTACAGCTTCGTTAGGCTGGTATATATAGATTTCAAATAATGAATTCTAATGACTATACTTGCTTACTGTATTGATGATTTTTATCTACATATTTATTATTTAAGTGTTGGGCTTTTATATGTCTTTACAAAATTATCTCTGTGCAGTGCGGTCAACTGGACAAAGGCAGATATTTTTGTATTTGTGTGTTTGTTCATGTGCAGATATGTGGGCGTAGCTGCAAATTAAGTGTTTGTGTGGTTTTTTTAGAGTGTGTGTTTAATTTTTCTCTTGTTTTTTTCTAAAGCATGTTTAAAAATAAATAGTCTGAGTGATTGGTCCAGTCTCCAAGCCTACCGTTGTAGCTACATGTCATTGTGTTAGCTGCTGGACCATTTCCCCCCACCTGATAATTGCTCAGGTCACCCTGGCACTATTTATATCCTCAGACAACTCTTTCCTCCCTCCCTCCTGCTGTTATCCCCTTAAAGCATGGCGATTTTCAGCATGGAGAGAGAGATTTGTTGCAGTGGTTGGGGGTGGGGGGGTAGTTTTAGGGGAGATTCTTATAATAGTGGCTTGCTGTCCTCTTTCTGTTGTGCATTACGAATGAAGGCTCAAAATAGGACTCTATAGAGACCATCTAATCGCGCGTATGCTAGCTTTTTGCACACAGTCACACACACGTACACAATGTAGCCCGTTTTTTATGTGATCATGGGTAAATAGGATTTGCAAGGGAAGTCTTACTGTACAGTGACTCATTCTGAAAGAATTATTTTATTCATTATATCAATTCTTACATCACAACAGAGGCAGCCTCCATTCGGTCTGAATCCCTCCACACACATTGCTTCTGGTTGAATGTGTGAGTAATTTTTTTTGTCATCCACAAAGCAAGGGATGAATTAAATCCAGTTTAATTACAGCGGAAATAGGAACCAAATATTTGTTCATAGTCGGAAGAGCTTACATTTTCTGAACCTCAGATTGTGATATGTTGGAAAATGTGTCAATAACAGGAATATAACACAGAAACAAATGTCCCACTGTGTACAAGAGACAAGAAACACTCTGTTAAGAAACTGGTTGTAGTTTTTTTATTTATGTGCCTGTGTTATTTGCATATGTTTGTGTGTACAGTACAGTGCGTGTGCCTGTGGGTGCCTGAGCCACAGCGGATAAGAATGCTTGCCAGAGTGGAGTGAGAGAGCGAGTGTACTAGTGGAGCAGGATCAGGAAGGAGAGCGAAAGAGAGCAGAGAAGGAGAAAGAAGAAACAGAGAGAGAGAGGGCTTCGTGCAGTGGCAGATAGTACAGGAGCAAGTCGCGATTCCCCAGGAAATGGGAGGTGCATCCTTCCATCTTCTCATTGGGGATTTAAACTAGCTTAAGATTGGCTTCTGACAGAGGATTCCCCCGCTTGTGGAGTACGGCTCTCTCCTCTACAGTAACACTCGACTTTGTTGTGAAGCCAGAGAGGCGCACAGGAAGGAGGGAGAGGGACACTTGCTATTACTTCCTTTGTACCCAACCAGCTTGACAGATGGCACTGGCAGAATGATCTTTGACTCTCACCCAGCGACCAGCCCTCGCTCCACTCATTGAGGTAACGTATGTCAGCTCAGCTCCACAGCTATTAGCAAAAAAGCTTCATGTTCATACATTCATACTACTGCATTGTTTGCCTGGAATGTGCTTGAATGAATGTGCAAAATTAATATGGCAGCTCAGTGTACATGCAAGTATGCCTGCAATTTTAGTTCCCAGGCAGTGCCAAAAGGGATGAGAGGACGGGAAGTACCGTAGCTCAATCACCACCTCATCAGCACCCAGTCTATGTGGAGTTTATTTTAACCTGGCTTAGTTGGTGGAACTGTGTATCAACTGTGTTTATCAGTGGTGTGTTATACTCTTGTGATAGAGGTGTACTATGGCTGACCTTCATTATGCTGTGTACCAGCCTAACCTGAGGTCCAGAATGAAGGGTAGTTATGGCGAGCTGAAGGGGCAGCACCCTGCTGCCATCACTTTTTCGCCAGAGTCTGCACCCACCTGGACTTTTTTTTACCAGCCACCCGCTGTAAATATAATTGATGTTGCCTTTCTCTTTGCCTGTAGCAGACTTACAAATCATGGTGGCACAAGTTGCATCAGAAGCAAGTGTTGTGTTGGAAATAATAGGCAGTGTCCCTGGAGGGCGGTATATATGATGTGGAGTTTGTTTTTGTTGAGGTGCAAAGCGTGAAGAGCTTTGGATTTGTGTGGTTCTTGTTGTAGAAAAAGAGTCTCCTTTCAGTTCGCTAGAATTACTGCACTCTAGTACCTAATAATTGTATTGTAAAAGCGTTCATGAAAGAAATGTTTGAATAATTGAGATAACAGATAAAACAAGTGCACTATACTAATGCAATCTTCTTATCTAGATTATTATTAGTATATTAGAAATTATAATTATAAAATATATAAATACATATAAATAAGACATATAAACTGTTATATACTTAGCAATTGTTAATGTACAATTTAGAAATTGTATTTGAAATGATTGGAAAGCATTCCAACTTCAGAAAATACATATAAACAGAGATTTTTAGATTTTGTTCTGCTTTTGCACTCTTTCTAACTCAGGATCAACATCAGATGACTTGTTGGCCAATCTCCAGCCTTTCTTTTAAAACGCATGCTCTCAACACAATGTGCTAGCTTCTCTCAATAAGCCAACCCTGTTGGAAATGTATTGTTTGATTTCCTTAGAAAAATAGATGACAGTCTCTGTAATATCTATTGAAAACCTGAGATTTTTGAATGTAGGGAAGTTTGCATTTGAAACAATGGCTGAGTAACCGAGCTTGGTCTTTGAGTAATGATTCACTTACCTTCACTCTGGAGTTGATCCCCGGGCGCTGTGACAAATAAAGTACCTTTACCAGCGCACACACACAGTCTGTCTCTGTCTGCTGTCCTCCTGCTCTTTGCGTGAGGTTGATGTTCAGAGGAACCTTTGAAACAGAACATTAATTGTACCTAATAATTGAAACAAGACAACAAAATGACACTGAAAATTAATAGCATAGGCTTTTAACAGCACAAATCTACTATTGAAATATGACCACCCACGTTGAAACCTTCGTTTACAAAGTGAATTACTGGAATAAAGAAATTCATTTTACAGTTGTTACTGACCATTAATAGGAGGAATTAATGTCTGCAGAAGTTAAAGACCTCAGCTTCACAGTTACACACCTTCCAGCCAAACTAGGTTACTCCTGAATGTACCATTGGCTAATGTTAACAAGCAATCAAAGAACAGTCAACATAAAACGCTAACGGACGCCAACCACCTTGCACCACCTTAGACCAAACTGATATTATGGTGCGTTCAATTTGACATGGGAAGTCAGAATTTCAGAGGAAACGCCCCCTCTAGTCTGAGAAAGTAGGGAGAACCGCACTACCCCGACTTTGTGATCCAAGATAGCTGCTCAAAGTATCACTTAGTGAAAGCTGTAGTTTATACTGTTTATTAGCGCTCAAAGTATCATTTAGTGAACAGTTAGTGAAAGCTGTAGTTTATACTGTTTATTAGCGCTCAAAGTATCATTTAGTGAACAGTTAGTGAAAGCTGTAGTTTATACTGTTTATTAGCGCTCAAAGTATCAGTTAGTGAACAGTTAGTGAAAGCTGTAGTTTATACTGTTTATTAGCGCTCAAAGTATCAGTTAGTGAACAGTTAGTGAAAGCTGTAGTTTATACTGTTTATTAGTGCTTCTGTTTATTTGTGTCTCATAGAAATGTTTGTACAGGAAGTGCTATCCAATTGCTGTCTGTGGACTTGTTGCTCCTGTGTTTAGTATGCATAAATACCACTCTGTGTTTTTTTATCAACAATGGCTAACATGGCTAGTTGTAAACAATGACTCTCCGAGCGAGGTTTTCTGAATTGTTCACTGAATCTCAATTATTCAAACATTTCTTTCATGATCAGGCGTGACGTCATTCCCAGCTCCAACCTCCGACTTCCTAGGTTAATGGAATGCACCATTAATCCACCAACTAACTCCCAGTATTACAAAAAACAAGTCGACCAAAAGTACTGATTAGTAACTATAATATATTTCAAAAGTGTTACTAAGTAATATGACTTCCCAACACGGACATACTGTATGAACAAAAACAAACAATGGCCCTAAATTGGCCCCCCATTTTACTGTAGCATTTTTCACAATGGGAATTTCCCTTCTTTGGTCAGTTCCCTAATAAAAAATCCCTTTCAGTGTTTACTTCATCTAACCTTTGTATGTGTTCATTTATCATATTTTGAATAAGCTCTAGTATATGGCAAGCCATTTTAACATTTATTCCTTAAAACTTGCTAGTCGCAATTTAAAAGCTCATAACACCACAATACCACAACAACGCGCACACACACACACCGGTGTGGAGCAGAATGTGTTGTCCACAACTAACCACTGTGCTGTAGTAACGTTACAACTAAATTTCCACAGAAAGCAGCGTCAAAAAACAGCTGCAGGCTTCCAACACACTACGCTCATTAGTGAGCTTCAAATGAGGCTTACTGTTTACAGTTTCTCTCGACTGTACCTCAGGATTACAACATTAGTCCAACATCGCCGAGCCTGCTAGCCACATTAGCCCCGCAATATGCTAACATAAAGTTAGCTAACCTTTAAAATAAACAGTAAAACAACACGGCAGCACTTACAGCTTTCAAGTTTGAAGACAGGTCATGTACAGCCCATGACGATCCGTCCTTGAACCGTTACAGAGCTCATTACGGTTGTGGAACTTTTGAAGCACTAACTTATAATTTAACATGCCATGAAGTGTAAAGCATGAACATTGCGGTTGTTGTGGTGCTTGCCATCCTCCGCGGTAGGGTCAACCAATAGCACGGTATTTCAGTTTTGCGGTTATCGCGACAGGCCTTGTGATAATCCTATTTTTCAACATAACTGATATACACCATAGAGCCATCTGAGTCGTAGAGACCTGAGACCTTCAGCATGCATGTATACTAGACTTGAGCTAATCAAATATTTACCAGACATGGCAACATGGATGTCAGACCTTATTTAATCACATCAGATACGACTGGTCTAAGGTTAATGTTATATAGGAATATAGCAGTTTAACTTAGAGTTTGTGGAACCTTCTATCAAGACAGGCATGTATTTTAATAATATTCAATAATCCATAAATTATCTTGATGTTGCAAATGATTTCCTGACAGTGTTGTGGTTTTGACTTTTAAGCTTGTTATCCTCTCTATCATTTACACAGCATATTATAGTGTATACAGTAACAAAGTTTTAGTTTGTTCTTAACAATTTGTAGCTTCTCCTAGAGGTGTATACAGGTGCATAGTTCAAAACAACTGTGGTATTTTGTCACTGTCACTTTAATGTGTTATTTTTAGTGTTCATTGACCCTGCTCTGAATGAAGATTGATGTTGGATACCTTCCTTCTGCATTCCCAGGGTAATTTTCTTGCTCTCTAGTGGCCATACTGAAACCCACGCCATTAGCTGTATATTAAGGACGCTGTGGCTTCCTGTCTCCCAGACAAAGTGACAAAGCAGGAGATTTGTAGTCCCTGCAGTGCCGTAGTTTACCCAATTTCATCCTCAATTGACAGATGTGTGAGAATGTGACTGTAAGATAAACCAATATACTGAATGAGATCAGAGGGAGGTTTAAGGTTGAGTAGTAGTTGTCACACAAACTAGAACCCCGCTGAACCCAACTAGAGATTAACCTTACAGTGTATGGCATGTAAAGAAAGATCCGGCTTGCATTGTCTTTTTGCATGGGTTTTCTCACCTCTGACTTTGTTTCTAAATTCAATCCATGTTCCCATGGAGATTGACAGGAGCTTACATGTTATTTTTTATTTTATTTTTTTTTCACACTTTATTGTAGTGCAATGTTGAAGTCTTAATCTTAAGGTTAAGAGTTCTGCATGTGTTGCACATTATCTTTTCATAACACTGCTCTATACTATACAGTAGTTACTTTGTCCAGGTTTCTCTCGTGTTCTGTTGTATTTGATCTCAACGAAGGCTTTTGATGTGTGGCTGTGATAGCCACATTTTTATATTTTGGCCCACTCTCCTCACCACCTTGCTTTGAGCGGCTGCATTATCATTATCATGACACCATCTGCCATCTGGAGTGCATACATTTTGTCCTTTTTCTGTGATACTTTTCCTGTATGAAAGTTTGTGTTAAGTGTAAATGACACAGTGTTACTTTTTTTGTTACATAGCCTTATGTTACAGTTTTCCTCCATTGCTTAAAAACTAAAACCAGGTTGTGTTTAGAGTTTCAAGAAAAAGAGGCATAATTTCAAGAAATATGCTTAAGCAATCGAGAAAAACAGTAAAGAATATTCTTAGGGAGCTTAATTGATGTAACAGGGAAAGGTAAGACAGGAGTCATTAGCTAACCCTACAAGTGTTCACTGACCTTCCAGCTCTAGTTATTTCTCTCATGTAACTGTCCTTGTTAGGGGGATGACAGTTAAATTAATAAGGTAGAAACAGTAGTTCAGGCATCAGGCTAGCAGATGTCCGTGTTCTCTGGGAATCTGACAAGGTTGAGTCTTACAAGAATGTTTACAAGAACATTACTTACTTACTGGATCCACAAATTAGAGTACAACTCAGTGATAGTTTTAGATTCCAATATGACATAGCATTAGAGTCTAAACATCAGATAGTTTTGTTGTTCTAGGTTAAGGCCAGCTAAAGATGACTTAAGAGGGGTCATCAGAGTGAAGGGGCCCTACAGGCACTATTGGGAATACAGAAACATTAAAAGGACCAAAAGATGTTATCCTTCAGATTTGGTGTGGCATTCGATGTGTTCACACGTTGTATGCTGGCACTGTATCTCCTCGGCCAGGCTCGATAAACCATGCTATGTTAAGTCTTCATCAGTCTCCGAAAGTTCTTCATCACACCTATAGCTGGCTCACAATATTTTTTCAACAAATACTACAGGTGCTTAGCCCTAAAGCCTTTTATTTCAGATCAAGTTCCATTGTGTAAATTTAAGAAAGACCCAACACTCAAGTGGCCTGTGTTGAAACTGTATCCCTGTGTAATCCCTGTGCTAATAAACACACACACATTCCCTGGCTGCATCACCTGCTCACACTCTAATAAAAATCAAACACTTGGAGGGTAAGCATAGTTAGCATGTTTGAGTGGTATTACAGTTTTTCTCGATTTCTTAAACACATTTCTTGAAATTATGCCTCTTTTTCTCAAAACTCTAAACACAAATTCACAACTTCTCACCCAATTCCCCAAACATCCTATTTTCAGGTCACAATGAACTTCACTCAAAACCATTCAGTCTTGATGGAAAAAAAACCCTTTGCCCTCAGACATGACACACAAGCCCTCAAAAACACACACACTTGAACACAGTCTTACACAATAGTAAGATAAATTCAAAACAATAGAATCAGAATCAGAAGGAGCTTTATTGCCATGTAGTGTTTTACACATACGAGGAATTTGCTGTGGTTATAAGGTGCTACACGTAGATAAACATACAGTCAACATATCAATACTGCTTATTAGTAATGTTACTTGTGGTTCTCCCCCTCAAAAACCTTTTCATATGATGAACACAAAAGATATAACAAATGTATACATTTGCACATTTTTTATTCCTTAGTGTTCTGTGCAGCACAACACACCAAACAACAAATTATTCTGCCCCAGCATCTTGTCTTTGATCTGGGACAGGCCAGAGATTCTCATCCTCCACCTCCCTCTTCACCTCTACCTCCTCCTCCTCCTCCTCCTACTCCACCTCCTCATCTTCTTCACCCCTTACTCTTCTCCATATTAATCTCTGGTGTCCTCTACCTCTTCCTTCACATCTCTCTGGATCCATTGCTCCAAAACTGAATGAACTGACTCCGGCCCTTTTATCTATCTATTGAAGGTTCTGATTGGTGTTTTATCAATTTTGACTGTTTGTGTTTCCACATGGGTATTTGTGTGCTAATTGAGCTCAACCTGTGCTGACTTGCGTGAACAATATTGAATGTTAGTGCTTTCTCAGTGACCACATGGTGTAGGCAATGAGAAATGAACGGATTTGTGTGTAGATTTTAGGGAAATGGGTGTGCTTGTGCTTTGAAAAATGGAGTTATGGTTTTGAAATTATTAGTTAGGACTGTAACAGGTGGTACCATGAGCCAAATTTTGGTTGTGGGACATGCTGTGTTTTATTATTTATTTTTTCAGTGTATGTTAGTACTACATAATGGATAAAAACTTACCAACTTACTTGGATGCTAATTCACTGTGTCTGTTTTAGGGTTTGTATGAAATTGGGAATATTGAGAGGTTATTTTAAATGGACTTAAGATACAGTTGAATATTATTATTATTTACTTGTATGTTTCAGTTCTCATTGCAAGTTCTTAACTTGACTTTTTGATGAATTAAGTATTAAAGTAATTTTGATCTCAACCAACATCAGCTTTATCAGTCCCTACTATATGTTGAAAATAACAGTAATGAAAGCCTCACAGTTGTCTTTATTCTTTGTTTTAAAGCATCTGAAACAATCTTCTCTTTTACAGTCTTTTTGTGGCAGTGGTTTTTCTTACGGCAGTGGTGAGTGAGCACATTGGAGAGCAGCCCAAGGATGTTGAGGCTTTCAGCTTAATCTCTCGAGATAGTGAGTGAAGATACAGGGTTCTTTAACACTAATGAACGAGGAAATTATATTTCACATTTCCGATCAGTTTTGACAGAATTTTTTTACCTTATTTCAAAGTAGTTACATTAGTCAAGTCATTTGCATGCACTAGATAAAATAAGAAGAAAATGATAAATTCTGTTACCCTTGAGCAGTAGATACTCTATCTAGAAAAACATTTTTGCTATGGACGTGTAAGCCAAGATGTTTAGACTGAAAGCCAACAACAGAGGGAGATGGCAAGAGAAAAATAGATTTTAAATAATTTATAAAGAATAGAGCCTTACGTGATCTAAACCATTCACGAAATGGCCTTTGTCAAAGGTCCATGCCCAGGAACTTGTATTTGTTCTTCATTTTTACTGCTCACGCTTTTACAGTGAATTGATATGATGTGGTTATCATTGTTCCAGATATTATAAGATCTGCTGCTCTGTACTCTTGAGTGTTTCATCCAGTTGAACAGAAATGATAACATCCAGTTATGCAAGGAAACATCTTACTTTACCTCTGGGAAATTAACAAGCAACTAGCAAGCAAAACTAACTTCGTACATGTCACACAAGAAGCAGATGAGACAAAAACAAAAACCAGAGGGTGGGCACAGCACATGCTATAATTAGCAGCTGTCATTAGGATGCTTGCATGAGAGAAGAACATTTTTTATGTGTGCTTACTGAAAGAAGTAGTTGTCTCCAAGAGCTATCCCAGAGCCCAACAGTAATTTGCAAGTATTGATGGGATAGGATTAGTGATAGGGCTGCAACTAACGACTATTTTGATAGTCCATTAACCTATCAGTTATTGAAACGAATAATCGACTATTCGGGATTATGAATTGCAAAATTACATCTTATTTGGCTATCAGCTTTTAAATTAAACTTGAGGTTGTTTTAGGCATGTGCTAATTAACAGTCACAACAATAAAATAAATACTGCTTTCAAAAATAAAGCTTTCAATGAACGTTTCTACTGCAGCAAAAGAAAGTTCCCCTGAAATCAAGTCCTGATCTAAGCAGCTGATCTGCTATTTAGTAGACGGGGTAGTTTACACGCCAGTACTGCAGCACACCGGGACAAACTGACACTATATACAAAGAAAGGAATAACATCATGCATTACATTTGCCTAATTATAGGGGGTCAATAATAATGATTTTGTAGTAGACAGC